CAAGGATGGATAGCGGCCATCAGAGACATTCATGAAGCCAGCTTATCCTTTCCAAGGAGCCAGCCGAAGTAAAGTAAGTAAGATTCCCACTGAGAATGAGAGAAATTCGCTAGGTGTGAGGCTCGTATGATAAGGAGTACATGGTGTTTGAGCGTTTGCAAACTTCAAAGAAGAGATTTCAATCATACTGGTCATTTGACTCGTGAAACGGGCAATACCTTCCTGTCTGATTTGATTCGCCCGGTTAAATGCACACCATCGTTATCGTTCACCATCACTGATACGGTTTGGAAAACCTTCGTCTTCAGCATGTTCGAATGCGCAACTTATTCCGTAAGATGTCCTATAGTGCTTCAATGTTCCATACGTGATATATATATATATATATATATATATATATACTTTCGATTGACAGGAGCACAGTAGAAACAAGAAAAAAGCAGTTGGAACTGGGTGTGGAGCGGAACTAAGTATTATTTATTCGTTTGCTGCGCGCAATTTTATCACTTCATTTTTGGACATATCGATTCACACCACTGACTCCGATTCAATGACAGGACAATCAGAATGTTTAAGCAGTCCCACGGAGCACATAATGAGAACACAATTGGGCAAACAAGCTTTCCATGTGTCTTAATCATTTCATTACAAAACAATAAATGCAACTATAGTTATAGATATGGGATATGAGATCATCATTGTTGAGCAAAATCTGTGTACATTTATTTACTATTTAAAGGAGACACCTTGGCAGAGACTGCGTATAGACGGCTATCATCAAAATGTTTTACGCAGTCAATCTCCAAACCCGATTGACATCTAGCCTGTTGATGGATTTGCGGTTGAAAGATGGAACACCCGTTTCTGATACCTCTTGCACTTGCTAGTGCGGAGCAAAGTACGTTGGCCGCACGACAAGGCGTTGGTCGGAGCGCGTCACATTGTGTGGCTAAGACGTAGAGTAGTTAAGTCATTCGCAAGCGCCATCGTGTCGCACCTTGTCAGCACTAATCACATCGGAAGCGTGACTGAAACATTCTGACCCATGTACAGAGTTAAAACGGGGCGTTCGGTTTCACATCCTATCTACAGCGGAGGCAATTATCATCCACTTGTTGGAACCAGAATTCCACCCACCCACCCACCCCCCCAATAAAAAAACGTTTGTTCAGCCACTTAAACTTCCCTGGCCCAAAGCGGACAACATCACGCATCAGCGTTGTGATGACCCAAATCAATTACCAACGCTTACGTAACCAGTTCTTATCTGAACGGGAGAACCGGAGACAAACGTGTCCCTACCCCACCCCTTTGCAATAATGATCTGACATCGAATGCTTGACCTCAACAAAACACCTTCCCGCTATTTTCTTACCCACTAAATGTGATTGTATTGACTTGAGAAGGAACGCATCGAAAACATAGTTGTCTGCGATCGGTGTTCTGATTAGGACCACGGGCTTATTTTGTAATTTCTTATCTGTGACCATGGTCCTATTGTTATATTCTCAAAAGGCGGTGCTGGTCGAGGAGAGTTGTTTATTGCAGAATACAGATTGAAGGTCACTAATTTTGCATGCATAACACGAAAACCTTATCAGAAACATGCCATCGCAACACATAGAGTAATGGGGAGAGCAGGCAGTGTTTATTCTTCCCAAACATATTACTTGGTCCTTGATGGTCTTGTTCTATTTCTAATCATCGAAAGTTACTGACTACTCAAGAGTGAGCAGTATCTCACAACACTATTAATTGTATTGTAATGGCATGATCAAGACACTGAAAACGAGCTTGTTTGTCAAATTGTATTGACAATCAGATATCCCGGCGGAAACCAGACAGGAACAAAATTTCCTCAGCCCTCTCGGCCACGTCATTGCTTGCCCCATGTTGTTCATTCGTCCAATGTCTGCAAATAACGAACATTAGGACCGACGTTACCTGGGTGTTCGTAGGATGTGTCTGAGCCAGCACAGACGGTACAGTGAAATGGTTTCGCTCGATGCAAGACCATCTGATCCTAGAACACGTGGTCAGATCTCACTTCTATTCACACGATGCTGACCAAACAAAAATGACAGAAAAAGCAGACAGTGGTTGAACATGTTCTGTTCGAGGAGGATAAGTTTCGCAGTTGTAGAGTAACACAGCATGTACCGTTGCCCCAATACGAAAGGGATATCTCACGTCGGCAATGAAAAAAAGTCGATTTGACTTTACTTACGCATTGAGGGATCTTACCCACATCTCTGCCAACGGCTATACAATTTCCAAGGTGGACATAATTTTTAACTGCCTCTAAGGAGTCAATATCCAACCAAATTGCTGGAACAGTTTCGTGCCAATCTTGCGACAGTAAATCGAACAGTGTGTTTTATGAATGGCTCGTCATGAAAAGAGCACAGGACTGAATTCGTATCAATTCGATTTGATGCCGATCGAACAGCACGTTAAAAAGCTCTCTGACGTTAGAATTCATTGTATTTGAGGATCCATAAAATTGATCAATGAAAAATAGAGGCCAATTAAGCGACACAATCTTCATCATCCTCATTGATCAATTTGGCCATTTTCAACGATTTGCACGCAAGATCCATTATTCCTTCAAACGTCTGGTGGATGGCCAAGAAACCAGAAGCGTGTACAAATTTACACAAGGGAAGACCGACCGCTTTACTCAACTCTTCGTCTCGCAAGCCCCGCCATGGTTCAGGAAACGGTAATCTGGAAGGAGTAGTAAAGGCAAATGAGGGACACAACGAATCAACACACGATTTTGTGTCTGAGGGGTGGATTTCAAATTTGCAAAATGACGTGTGAAAAATTATACGCGTAGGCGAGGTATACCTTCTTACGGATTTTATAATTCTTTCTAGTTCATTGAGCCCCTGGTTCCAGCGAATCCGATATCGACTGACTGCCTACGAGAGATAACATATTCGCAGTGATCGCATCTCGTCTGCTCAACTGAAACAGTTAACTAGAAGCAAAGAGAGAGCACACAAACGCAAAGGTTTTTCACAAGAGAAAACGTTGATCATTTGCTATTAAAGGCGAGCTATGCAGACTGAATCGAATCTGCACTGGCACACTCCTACTTCATAAAAAAACTCCCGGACGACCTCCAACACTATCGAAAAATTGAGTGATCAATCCTCGATCGTGCCTTGAACAACCATACAACTTGAGGTGCTAAATGGAACACTTGATACGGGAGCCAGTGACAGGGAGACGAGGGCCGTCTATCGACAGTACAAACATTCTATCTCAGTGTTACTGAAGCCTTCACCATTCACGATGTCCTGAAGATGTTTTTTGATTATCAACCTCAATAAATCACCCACTCCTAATGAGCCATTGATTAACACAATAAGTGCTCAAGGCTCTGTTCAATCAATGCTTGAAATCTGTAGATAGCTCCACTTTTCAAGCACTGGTTAAACAGAGCCATGAGTACTGGCGAAAGTGTGTGAGCTTACTCATGAAGGATGGTAGCCTCCAGCCTATCGGGACACAAATGGCGGCCAATAAACAAGGCGGGGTTTGTTAAGTGTCACCCAGTATGCTTCCTATAGGTTCCTCATGAGGAATGCGAACAGTATGCCTATGCATTTAAAAAGGATAAAGAGTTAAGTTGTGTGCATGTAACAAACCAACAAG